CAGCAGCAGCAGTAGCGGAGGAAGTGCCCCATGGGGGCGTGGGGACTGCTTGTTTGATTTGCGGCACATTTTGAGTAATATTAACAAATTGTTTGAGCCAAGAATCAAATTTGTTGTAGATACAGCAGGGGGGAACTAGTGGGGGAAAAACAGAGAGTGAGATGGATGGGGGGGTTGCATTATACATAGATACGCATTTTAGTTGCCCATTTTGTCTATATTTTTGTGATTTATTCAGCAAAGGTAGAAACTCATCTAAGGATCAAATGTCCTAGAACGTTTATTCTTTGATTTTTCTGGATATTTAATATTTTTTAGATCCGTTCTGTAGCTATCCATCGTTTGTAGTTCATCTGGAATGTCAATGCCGAAATAAGGACAGTATTTCCTTTGCATTGGCGATGTCTGCTTTATCCTGCACTGACTCTGAGTCTCTAAAGGCTCAATCCCTTCCTCCAGGAAGCTACAATAACTAAAATTGAGTCCAAGAAAGATCTTTGAGAGATGTCCGCGAAGTGGGAGATAGAAAAGGACACAGAGAACTATCTCATGCATCAGAGAAAGGATTACAGATGTATGTTTCAGGAGTTTAACTAAAAATAAAAGAGCTTCCATTGTACCCCAACTAGTGTGCCCCATGTCTCCCCCTGGGGGTTGGTAGTTGCCTTCATTATAAACAGATTAATTATCCATCAGGGATGATGTGGGTGGCTGGGCACACGGTTGGGTAGATGGCTGCCACATGGAAACCCCTTTCAGATGCCAGCAACACCAAACAATTGAGTCATCCACACAGTGGCACTGGCAGTGGCACCCATCCCTATACCTCTCCACCACTCTCTCTCACTCTCTCTATCTCTCTCTCTCACTCTCTCTTTTGTGGTATATGAAAGCCAGAGACCAGAGACCGCCATAATGGCTCTGATGTCGTTAGTCATCTGCTAACCCTCCTGCCTTGGCAACCCTCCTGCCATGGCAACCCCCTCTGGCAGCCCCCATTTAATTGCGTCTTCTCATTTAGTAATAAAAACGAGACCCAGACACAGACAAAGGGGGGAAGGGATGGGAGTAGGGAGTAGGGGGTAGTATATGAGCGCGGAGTGCATTGAATAGTTTCGGGATTGGATAATATTTTTATCCCCCACATACCAGAGGGAGCCAATGGCCCACTGTCTCTCAGCCTCACCCTCGCTCGGTCGCTCGTTGGAAATTCAATTCAAATTTTATTCAAATGTTCGCTTACTCATTCATTCATCCATTCATTCATCTTTTTATCGCTTGGAATTTTCTTCTTTTATTGAGATTCTTTTGGCCATCCATGCAGCCCCATTCATCCCCATCTGCGTCTGGGAGCCCATAATCCGATTGTGCGTTGGGGCAAATTATTGTCGGGGATTCTTTTCTTTATTTTTTGGTTTTTTTTTTTTTTTGGAGATGGGACTTACGGAATATGTGAGATTTATGTTAAGTGGCAGACGGTCGCACTATCCTCGTGCCTCACTCATGACTGAGCGGTGGCTGGATGGATGCTGGGGCGCCTCTGCGGTGTGGTGCCCGGGGTGCGGTGCAGCCAGCAATAAAAATGTCATTCTGCAATAAAATCGAATTTCCCTTTGTGTGTGTGGCAGGATGTGAAAATGGCAAGGGATAATAGAGGACTTTAGCAAAAATGTATGACGAATAATGCCCACGAATAGATACAGATCCAGATGGATGGATAGCTAAATATCTGAATTAAAAGTTAAACCAAATGATAAGCTCGTAGAAATATTTTAAATTGAATTTTGTTCTCTTTGCAAGAATTACTTGAGCAATTTAACTCATTTCATATTCAATTGAAAGAGTTCTCGCAAAGATAGAACTTGAGCCAGACCTAAGGCCAATTGTAGAGGCAGTGCCAGCCCAACAGCTGACAGACACAAAGCCTTGGCAGCTGTTGGCCAAATTTGTATATGTATTTCTCTATATAAATATACACGATTACAGGCCACTCGAGCAGGGACATATATGTACATACATTCATACATAGGTACATATACATTGAATATCCTGTAGCTTAATCAATTGCACATCTCTGGGCAGAATGGAGGATGGATGAAGTGTCCCCGAAACCAATCACAGATCACGGAATCCAATAAAGGAAATTGTTGGGGATTTGGCTGCCTGCGACGGGGCTTACATGGAGCTGGGGGATGGAGATGGAGATGGATTCAGAGGCAGCTGGAACACGGACGGATCCCGGAACAGGCTCGTTGTCTGGGAAACACATTTAGATAAAGTCACAGCTTAGTGTCGTCTCCATTCTCCTGCTGCTGCTTCTGCTACTCCCTACTGCTGCTACTCCCTACTTCTACTCCTCCTCCCTCTGGTGCTGCTCCTGCTTCCTTCCCTCTTCCTGCTGCTACTCTTCCTCCATCTGTGCTCCTTCTCTTTCTCCTTTCGTTGGTGTCTGCTTTCCAGCGACTCCGATTCCGATGCCGATTTGTTCTTTTGGCCAAGAAGTTTCTCGCACGCCTAAATGTCTTCTTGTGTGCTGCATTCGTGTGAATCCTGTTATGGCTGCAGTTGCATATGGAGGATACACAGGATGCAACGGGCATTGCTGCTGAACTTTTCGCTGCTGCTGCGGCCATTAAAGAAGCCATTGGCACGGCCACTGGGCCCCTCCTTTTGCTTTGGCAGAAGTTTGGGCCAAAAGCTTAAGGCTTAGGCGCAGTCAGATTTTATGGCCCAACTCTACTCGCAAGAAACGTCTTCTCCGCTCTGCTTTCTCTCTCTGATTTCTCCCCTTCCTCTGCGATATTTTGCACTGATTTCTCCTGCTGCTCCGCCGCTTTATCTGTCTCTGATTTCTGCTGCCTCCAACTTTTGGGTGTTCCCAAAGCGCCCAAGAATGTGGATCCCTTGGCAGCAGCCCTAAATATGGATTGATTTCTCCTCCTCCACGCTGCCCCCTCCCCCGGGAAACAGCAGGACTATCCATAACTCATGTCCTGCCATGTACCTGCCTGTAGTCCGCGTATCTCTGCATCTCCTGGAGGGGGGGCATGGGCCATATCCTCGTGTCGGGACAGGCATAAACATGGCATTTTATATGCGTGGCAGCAGCAGCAGCAGGAGGCAGAAGTGGCATGCTCGGAGGTTGTTATTTTTGGCGGTTTATCTATTTTTAACCGCATGCCACAAGCGGTGGCAAGGACCCCAACACAGCGAACAGCAGGAACAGCAATTGACCCATTTTGTGGCCAGACACCCGATGCCGATGCCGATGCCGATGCCCCAACTAATAATGCGATAGGTGCCGACAGGTCCTGGAGGACCGCAGGGACTGCCTCTGCCTCCATGGGCCTTCTACCGCTTGTGTGCCCCATTCAGCGGCCACTTCTCCTTCTCCATCTCATTTCTCGTTTGTTTCCTCCAATTTCCCTCTGCTCCTGCTGCTGCTGTTGTTCTCCTCTGCTCAGTCTCTGGTTTTTATTTGAAAAAAAAGAAAGGAAAGGAAAGGCCTTCCTTCCGCTTTGATTCTTTGACCTTCTTCTCCTGCTCCTGCTCCTGCCCCCTGCTCTCATCTTGCTGCCTCCTTCGACTGCTTCTTCAGTGCTCCATTCTGCTACATTTCCTCCGCCACACCCTTCTGCTGGCTTCCGGCTTTGTTTAGTTGTCAGTTTGGTTTCCTTTCGTGCCAAATGAAGTTATTTCTTTCCTGTCCCCCGCCCCACCCTGCTTCCCGCCATCCACTTTCGATGCTTGTGGCAGTTGCATTAGTTCCAAATTGTTGTGTAACCATAAAAACATTCGTCGGCAATCGGGCTGCAGGGGAATCCCCGGAATGGCAATGGCAATGGGGAACGGGGAATGGGGAATGGCGTGTCTCGGTCTCATTGCGCGTCTCGGAGTGTTAAATGGTCGACCGTTTGGTCTGCATCGCAGTGGATTCTTAACGTTAATTACACAAGTTCTCTGGCCACACACACACACTTGAGATCTACAGCGCTCCTTCGTCGTAACAGAGCAAAAAAGGAGGAGGAGCCATTCCCCCTATTGAACTCTTGGCTAACCCTTTTGCGGCTCCTCCTTCTCCACTCCGTATCCCTTTATCCCCGCACATCTAATCCCACGACGGGGGTCATGTGTTACCATTAGACGCAGCCATTGGACACCCCGGGTGCCAGGGTGCCAGGGAGCCACTCGTCTTACCAGCCCAGCTGGTAAAGGAGCAGCCAAGCGACTTTGTCGTGGCTTTCGTGTGAATTTAATTTAATTTGGAAAAGTTTTTGCCCGTAAAACTTTTCCACAGCAAATGGAGACTGCACTGCACTGAGAAAAAAAAAAACCAAGGAAACAAGAGAACTCTGCACATGACTTTCGAGAAATGCAATTGAACTGCTTTACAACTGCTTCAAGTTGCACTGTACATACAAATCTTCGCGAATGTTTACAATGGGAAATGAAGCGCAATTAATATTAGGATGCAAGTAAGTTCTAGCTTACAAGCTGAAACCGTTTGAGAGCGTATGACTCATGGATCGTGAGAGCAAGCGCGTGCAAGTGCAAGTGCAAGCAAGCGCAAGCAAGCACGAACAAGCGCGATCAAGCACGAGTCAGAGAGCGCTAACAGTGTGCTGTAACGGGAGCAGCCGTTGGCTGTTAACGGAGTGCAATAACAGGCTGTTGCTCTGTTAGAGCTGCTGCCCTGAACAGAAGGTAACAAGAGATCTCTCACCGTTTGCAATGTGCAAGGAAGGAAAATTTTCTTAAGTTAAGAACGTAGTAGAAATTTAGGTCTGCTAAAGGCTCTACGTAGATGTGGGAGTAATCATGTATCTACATATAGGAAAGACAACAGGAAAAGCTTCTAAAACAGGAAAGATATCTTTTACATTAATGCCTCTGTATCTTCCTTTTCTACTATGGAATCTATCTGTAAAGATTGCCCATTCCATTTCGTGTATCCAACTCTCACTCACCTTCTTTCTCGCTCTTTCTCTTTGTGTTTACAGGTGCGTGCCATGGAGCAGCGGCTGAGTGAGTGGCCCAAGCCTCCCGCACAGCCACATCCACACCCACAGTCGCAGCAGCAGCAGCAACAGCAGCAGCAATCCCCCAATCACCAGCAACAGCAGCAACAGCAGCTGCAGCAGCAGACACCTACATCCGCGACAGCAGCAGCAGCAGCAGCAGGAGGAGGAGGAGCAGCAGCCGCAGCAGCAGCACTAGCAGCAGCAGCAGCAGGAGTTCCAGGAGTCCCACCCATCGAGGCTGAGCGGACCATCACCTCGTTGGAGATCCAGGTGGAGGAGCAGCGACAGTTGCGACTGCATGACGCCCGCCAGATCGAGGCGAAGGCGGCCAAGATCAAGGAGTGGGTGAACAATAAGCTGCGGGATCTCGAGGAGCAGAACCAGGTGCTGCGCGAGCAGAACGTCAAGTGCAACCAGCAGCTGGAGCTGCTGAAGAACCACATCGCGAACCAGTCGCAGCGGCACAGCATCGTTGGACCCGTGCGGAACAGTTTGAGCTTGGACGTGCAGGACTTTGCCGGCGGATCGGCGGAGACGCGCAGGCGCAGCGAGAGCCTCGATCCCTCGCAGGAGATCATCAGTCGCCCGCTGACCAGCTCCTATCCGCACCACCAGCACCGGCGCAATCTCTCAATGGAGCCACAGGAGCTCGAACGCAATCTGGTGGCGGCCGTCGACGGCCTCACCCTGGCCCCCCTCTCCAGCATCTCCAGCAAGGCGCCCTCGATGGGAGCAGTGGCCGGGGGGGGATCACTGCCGCGCCCCGACAGCTCCGACACGGACACGGCCCACGACTATGCGGAGATCTACACGCCCTCGTGCGAGAAGCTGCCCGCCTGGATGAAGAACAATCCCGCCCTGATGGCCAGCGGCGGCAACAGCAGCACCACCACCACAACCACCAGCGACCTGGGCGTGCCCCGGCCACCGACACCGCCGCTGCACCGCTTCCCCAGCTGGGAGGCCAAGATCTACCAGGTGGCCAACGATGGGTTGGCCGGCACAGGTCCCGGCACCGGCACCAGCACCGCCGAGAGCACCGCCAGCCACGAGCCAGATGGTGGCGCCGCCACCGCCAACAATACCCTGTCGAACGGAAGGTCACGCCACGGGACACACGGCCATGGCCATGGGGGACACGGACATGGACACAAGCATGGCACCGGCACCGGCACGGGCACGGGCACGGGCACGGGCGGTGATGGCAATGGAACACTGGGCAGCAGCGGCACACCGGGCACACCGCAGCCGCCAACGCGGCAGCAACAAACCGCCAGCGGCGGCTTCTGTGATATTTCGGTGCCCGTGTACGCAACGGTCAAGGGACGGGCCTCCCAGATCCGCTCGATGCCCTTCACCGGCGACTCGAGCGACGACTCCAGCGATGGGGAGGACCATGCCGTGATGCTCACCCACAATTCGCACAACTCCAGCAGCACAGACAACACGGAGACCTCCACCTCCGGCAGCGCTTCGAGCCCCTCCAAGAGCCTGAAGACCTCATCGAGCCTCAGTCCCGCCAAGCGCAGTGGCTCCGAGAGCCCCAAGAATGTCAAGGCGCGTGGTATGTACCCAACACTTGCGATTGCTCCTCCCCCACCCCCAACAGTAGAGCCATCCTGCACCACCAGCCTTGAGCCACTCTGTTGCTGGTAGCCTGGTAGCCCCGTAGCCACCCCCCCGCGTAGTACGTAGGTATCGTAGCCCCAGAGACGCACGGCACACAGCAGGAGAACACTGCAACTAACACACACACAGTACCCAGCAATCCCTTAACGATCCCGATCCCGATCCCTGATCGCATTCCTGCACTACCTGCAACCCTTTCCCAGTGTTCTAGTGCTACCAAGTCCCTTTGGATGCCTTTTGGATGGTTCACTTCCGTTTCATTGCCGCATTCCGCATTCATTTTGATTTGTGTTTCATTTCCAGCTCAGTTTGAGTTCAGTTTTTCCATAAATTCCGTTTCCCGTTCCAATTTCATTTATCTTTCTGTTCCAATGCCATTTATGTGCCTGTTCCACTATCCACATCGTTTCTACTGTTAGTTACTCTTCCTGTTTACCCTTTGTCGCCGCCCTTAGTTCAATTTCCTTTAACTTTCTTCCTTCTCCCACTTAATCTGATCCCCAATTCCCCTCCAAAAATGTTGCCTGTTCTTCTTACTACCAGATCCTTCTTCACTCCTCCTAGAACCTCCCCTCCTAGAACAAAATAAAACTAATTGAACAAAAACTAACAATTTGCGACAACTTTTGCCCATTAAAAACCATTTAAACCCATCAACCACCACTCAACCGATCCACCGATCCACTGATCCGCCATGCCATCATGTAACCGACACTAACCCGCTCCATCCGCCACCCACGCACCGCACCACAGTCCATCTCCATCAGCCACGCACATCCACACAGCCACAGCCACAGCATATGCACCTGCACCAACCACTGCACCACCAACATCACCACACCACATTGCCCCACCAGGGGCTGACGCTGACGCTGTCGCCGACATTCCTGCCACTGGGCGCGGCAGGGCAGAGTACGCTGCCACGTGCCCACCAGGCTGCTGCGGCTACGGCTAAGGCTACGGCTACGGCTACGATGCGGCTACCAGTGCCACCGATCGTCTCGCCCCGTTGCATCGCCTCTGCATCCAGTACCCAGCACATGCGTGGCACAGTAATTTCAGATCTTTCCTTTGAATCAGGCCTCTCGGACGACTACGCCCTGCCCCCGGACGCCGTGTCGGAGTCCACCCTGCATGGACGCCTCGATGCCGTCGCTGCTGATGCGCGCCTCCTATGTGGATTCGCCCAGCAAGAAGATTGAGTCCCCTGGAGAAGGTAAGTCCATCCTGAGAATCCTCAGAGGAGCTCCTAGATCTAATCTGTGTCCCCTGCCCTTCAGATGGGTCACCTGGCCAAGCTGGGTGGCAAGCTGAAGACGTGGCGCAAGCGCTGGTTCGTCCTGAAGAACGGCTCCCTGAACTACTGGAAGAGCCAGCATGATGTGCAGCGTAAGCCGCAGGGGCAGATCCAGCTGGACGAGGCATGCCGCATCAATCGGGGCGGAGGGAGCCTCCACCTTGAGATAGACACCGGCAAGAAGGTCTACTACCTGACGGCCGACTCCCATGCCACCATGGACGACTGGATCCGCGTGCTGCAGAATGTGCAGCGTCGGAATGCCACCAAGCTGCTGCTCAGCCGCGACGACCAGAAGCCCACGGTCCAGGGCTGGGTGACCAAGGTGAAGAATGGCCATGCCAAGAAGTGCTGGTGCGTGCTGCTCGGCAAGATGTTCTCTACTTCAAGGCGCCAGCGGAGACGGTGAGTACCGAAGAGATTCACCAGAGGTAATACTCACTCACTCCCTTTGTATCTGCTGCAGAATCCGCTCGGGCAGATCAACATGCGCGACGCACGCGTCGAGGAGGTGGAACACGTCTCGGACTCTGATTCGGAGGAGCGCGAGGATGCTGCCCAGGACCAGGCACGGCTTACCGTTGCCATCTATCCGGCACACCAGGGACCCACCTACCTGATCCTGTCCGGCAAGCCGGAGCGCGACAATTGGCTCTACCACCTGACGGTGGTCTCTGGCGGCGGTCCCAGCGCTGGCACCCAGTACGAGCAGCTCGTACAGAAGCTCATGGAGACAGACGAAGATCCAAGTGAGGAACCAAACGCTCTCTCTCTCTCCAGCGAACGGCAGGCTCATTCACCCATTTGCTTGCTCCCTTGCAGATTGCGTTTTGTGGCGTCATCCGATATTGCTGCACACCAAAGACACCATCACGGCACCGCTCACGTCCATGCACACGGAGACCATGCAGCCGGAGGCCATTAAGCTGTTCAAGGTAAGCCTCAGACGAAGGAAAGCGAAGTCCGAACTGATGCCAAATGATACCATTCCCATTCCATTTGTAGAGCATTCAGCTGTTCATGTCGGTGGCTGTGAACCAGCCGGGCATCGATTACCATGTGGTGCTGGCACAGAATGCACTGCAGCATTCGCTGGACATGCCCGAGCTGCAGACGGAGATGATCTGCATACTGATCAAGCAGACCTCCCGGCACATGGGCCAGAAGCTCAGTGTCGGCGTCCAGGTAAACAAGAAGCTGGGCAAGCAAACGCGCGTAAGTTTTTTTAGTTGCAAAGCTTCTTACATAACCCACCCCACCCAGCCCCCGTGCATCCCCCCCCACCCCCACTCCCACCCACTGTATGTTCCAACCGTTAACCCCCAATCAAATCCAACAAAAAGAATGTTTAGTTGAATGATTAACCCGTAACCTACCCATAAAATAGTTGGTTTTTGATTTGATGTAGAGTGTTCTTCTTAAACCCCCATCCTCCCATGAAATTCCCCTACTAACTTACAAAAACTTGCGCCTCCCGGCCCACGCCCCACCGAAAAAGAAAAATGAGCACCAGACTGGGCACCAGACTGGGTGAATTGTGAGGTACCAGCAAATGCCAAATGCCACCCACCAGTCACATGCCACATCATGCTACCTACTATTGTTTGCTCCGCTTATCGATGAAACAACAACAGCTGAAAAAAGAGAGAGATCTGTTGCACATACATATACTCTGAATAACTGAATAACACATATATTTGTACATTGCCTAACAACTAACTTAAGTCTAAGCAGCATCTATCATTAGCATAGTAGAGCATGCCTAAATCTAATCACTCGTATTGTAGCAGTCTCTAAGATCGTTTCCTAAGTTTCCTTTTCCAAGTTTTCGTTTTTGTAGCAGACAGACAATGAATTTCCCCCATAACTGTCATACATGCATACATACATATGTACAACATCTATCTGTATATATGTATATATATCACATATATATGTACACCTATATAGTGCATAGTATGTTAAACCAATCTGTATAAAGTATTTGCTGTAAATTGTACATACAAAGAAAACAAACATTAGAACCACAACAGATTCCATAGAACCATCACAGGCACAACCCATCACCCACAACAACAACAAACAACAGCAACAACAACAATCACTACCAATGAATAATCCACCAACTCGAGAAAACAAAACATCAACAAACAAAACAGAACATCAGCCAGCAGTACAGTACTACGCATACATTTAACGCTCAGTGTTAATAGAGTTATTTCGCCATCTTTGTTTTTAGCGCTTTGAATGTCTCTCTCTCTCTCGCTCTCTTGCTCTTTCTCAATCTGTCTCTGTTTTTGCCTGGTTCATTCGTTCGTTATGCCGTTAAATGTTTGTTTGAAGCTTAAACGTTACACAACACTGAACAGCAAACACACACACACACACACAGAGATCAACAACACTGTTGAACACTGATGAACACTGTTGAACACTGATTACATTGCTGATTGAGTGTAAACTGAAAATCAAAACAAACAAAACAAAAACAAAAACAGAAAAACAACTGATGATTGATGATTGATGATGGCTTCTCTTCCTTATTCTTATTCCTTATTTACTTTGAATTGCGAATTCGATTGATTGATTGATTGATTGATTGATGTGTGTCGTCGTCGTTTTGTGTGATCAAAAATCCAAAAATTGTTGAACCACGTTTCCCAACACTGCGTACCCACCACCGACCGATGACGACTCTTTTGACGAACACTTATTACAGCAACTACTGTTGTGCGCCACCCAAAGCCTGTTCACCTGTGATACCCAACAGGCGGGCAATGCCCATGCCAATGGCAGTTCGCCCACATCCATTCAGGTATGACGGGGAAATCTTTCGTCTCTCGCTTTTACGTTATTTTGCCACTTATTGTTTTGTACACGTACACGTACACGTACTCGTACAGTTGCGTTCGATTCCAGTAGTTCGATAACAGTAGATAACAAACAAACAAAAAACACTCCTCTAACCCCCCACAAATAAGACTAACCTTAACCTTGGGCCTTAACAACTAACTCGAACTCTAACCGAAACCGAAACCCATTCGGTATCTATCTGATATTGTATGCGCTGATCCATGTATGTCGATCGATTAGGCACCCGTTGCCGCGCCCATCATTGACTGCAAGTCGAATCCGCCGGCGTACAGCTTCGTGCAGGGCTGGCAGCTGCTCGCCCTGGCCGTCTCCCTGTTTGTGCCCAAGTCCAGTCGCCTGCTGTGGTACTTGAAGCTGCATCTGTCACGGAATGCGGACACCAAGACGGAGACGGGCAAGTATGCGGCCTACTGTGAGCGGGCCCTGGAGCGCACACTGAAGAACGGCGGCCGCGAGACGAAGCCCTCGCGCATGGAGGTGCTCTCCATTCTGCTGAAGAACCCATATCACCACTCCCTGCCCCATGCCATACCCGTGCACATGATGAACGCCACCTACCAGGTAAGGGCTGCAAATCGGAGCATGTAGAGCGCGTCTAAATAACTCCACACCCCCTTTTTTTTTTTTTTGCTCCCTGCAGGTGGTCTCCTTTGACGGCTCCACGACCATCGAGGAGTTCCAGGCGACGCTCGCCCACGAGCTGGGCACCCGCGATGCCAGCAATGGCTTCTGCCTGTTCAGCGATGATCCCATCGAGAAGGATCTGGAGCACTATCTGGAGCCGCTGGCCAAGCTGTGCGACGTGATCAGCAAGTGGGAGACGGCGCTGCGGGAGAAGGGCTCCGGCAAGTTCGAGAACTCGCGCGTCATCCAGCTGAGCTACAAGAACCGGCTCTACTGGAAGCACACCATCAAGTGCGAGACGGACAAGGAGCGGCTGCTGCAGTGCTACCAGACGAACGCCCAGATAGTCCAGGGCCGCTTCCCGCTGTCCCGCGAGCTGGCCCTGGAGCTGGCCTCGCTCATGTCGCAGATCGACATGGGCGACTACTCGCTGGAGAAGTCGCGCGACGTGGGCGTCGGCCTCAAGGGGCTGGACAAGTTCTATCCGTACCGCTATCGGGACGCCCTCGGGGCCGAGCAGCTGAAGGAGGTGCAGGAGCTGCTCATCTCCAAGTGGATGCTGCTCAAGGGCCGGTCCACGCTCGACTGCGTCCGCATCTACCTGACCTGCTGCCGCAAGTGGCCCTACTTCGGGGCCTGCCTCTTCCAGGCCAAGCCCCGCCAGAGCGAGACCTCGCACGTGGCCTGGCTGGCCGTCGCCGAGGATGCCCTGAACGTGCTGGAGTTGTCCACAATGGCGCCGGTGGCGCGCTATCCCTACAGCTCGGTGATGACCTTCGGCGGCTGCCAGGACGACTTCATGCTGGTCGTCTCCCACGACGACGGCACCCTGGCCGGCGGCTGCGAGCAAAAGCTGCTCTTTGCCATGAGCAAGCCCAAGATCTTGGAGATCACCCTGCTCATAGCCGACTACATGAACGCCCTGGGCCACACGGTGCCCGGCACACCGCAGATGAATTCCCTTACCCGCAACGGATCGCATCGCTCGCTGCGGACCTCGAATCGGCCTGCTCCCGGTGCTGGGAGCACTGTGGTTGCCTCAGGCCTCACCAGCATTGGCCTGGGCATTGGCACAGGCGGACCGGGCAGCGGCACTGGCTTCTCCACCAACGCCACCACCACGGCCCACAACACGCTCAACTCCCATGCCACGCACACTTTGAACTCCACCCACTCGCACACGCTGAGCAGCTCGCATCACGCCACAACCGGCGGAGGTAGTCATCCTGGAACACTCAGCTCGGGCCACCATCATCACCAGCAGCAGCAACAGCAGCATCACCACCACCAGCCGGATATACTGAAGAGCACGCCCGACCATCAGCGGATCAAGTAGAGCAGGGATCCTACCGTATTGTACATAGGCGCCGGCATACGCATCCAAAAACCGGAAGCATATACGACTAATCTACACGCCCACACATAAAGGGATACACACACACACACATATATATTTACGTAGAATAAGAGGAGCGTGGGAAGGGCGTGAGATTTCACGCGATCCACTCCACAGGCACTACTCAACACTGTTCTTTCCTAAACAACTAGCAACGGTACACGTACTCTAATCGTATAACTCGATTAATTGTAGTCTCTCGTGTTTTTTTTTTTGATAGTCCTAAGAGCGTACCCCAAAAATACGAGCATGTAAGGTATCTGAAACAGAACACAAATTTTGAATCTCTTTTTCGTTAGTTTAGTTATTTTTTTTGTTTCTTTTTTTTTTGTTTCGTGGTTGTAGTTCCCTCAGATACAGATAATGATAAAGATACATATATATATGTAGAGATAGAGATACAGATACAGATATAGTATGTGTGGTATATTCGAGTGTTCTTGCTCTTCGATGTGTAATGCTTTGTAATATGAGTCTCAATTGTCCCTCCATGCGCGATAACTGCCTTTTGAATTTATAGATGAGAAGAATAGAAGCCAGGAACAAGCCAAAACCAAAACAAAACAAGAACAGCATATAGCAAAAAGAAAAACAGAAAAAAAAAACACTAGCCTTAGAAACCAAAACCAAACCAAAGCAAAACAACAAAAAGAGAGATATTTTGTAAAGAGTTTTTCGAGCCAGAAACAGAAAGTAGAAGAACATCTCCATCGATTACACTCGTATTAATTCGTAGGTACTATGGTTTCCGCTTTGGGCGAGATTCAGGCAGCAGATTCAGCACTTTTATAGATGCCTCAACTCACCACCCACCCAGCCCACTAGATCATGCAAAATTTTTTGTTGTTTTTAAAACGTTTTTTAGCCCCCCACACTCTTTGGTGTCACAGAGCTTCTGTAGAGCACAGGTTTTAGGGCATTTTTTCCATTGATATATTGATATACTGAGCATACAAAATATACAGAAGCGATTGAAGATGGGGATTGGGGCACTCATAGAGAGACCTACTCGAGCATAGAATAGCATCGCTGATCCTTGGTTATCTGTTGGCTTTCGTTAAACTCACACACTCACATGCGCATATATAAAGATATATACAATATAGACACGTATACATATATAGGGAGAGGTGGTATTCCGAATCGATATTTAACAAAATTATACACAAGCAAAAACTAATTATACAGAAGATTGATTATACATATAAACAGATACAAACAGATGTATGTATGTATGCATGTATGTAAATGGCAAGCTGCGCATTTTTTTCCTAATTGTAAAGATTTGATATAAACACATTTATACGAGGTACGCGCTTTGCATGGAAAAGAGAGGGAGGGTAGCCCAACCCTAAGACCCGAAACGAACCGTAACGAACCGAAACACCATTCTCATTGGTAAGCAGAATCAAACGTAGAATCGAACAAGGACATATATATATATATATATATATATATATATATAATGTATAACTACATAGGCAAATGTATCACACACATCACTCGAACGAAACGAAATATATAAGTTTATATATATATAAAGGGAAATTAATAATTAAAACTAAACCAAACATCTGCCGTTAGCATTTTCTCTACCTACAGGGGGGTGGGGATACAATGGGGTAAATACAATCAAATGGCGTGTATGTGTGTATTTTTTTTTAAACAATGTAAATTGATTTATTTGCCTTAATTTAGTAACTATATAAATTGCCTAAAACTTGTATCATTTCACTTTATGTGCTTCCTTTTGTTTGCTTATTGCTTAGCTCCTAGTCGCAGTCGATTGGGTTCCCTAGGCACACTATCGTCATAGGCTGTTCCACATTCCACATACGTACAATCTACAAATTCGCACACACACACACACACACACACACACACATACACCTAAAGTATTATAATTTACAGATCGGTACCCCCGCCAACCGACAGCAGACAGCCGCACGGGGTAGCAAAGCAAAGTGGAGGTATCGCAAGTGCAAAGGTCGAGCAAACTAAATTTAATTCAAATCATAATAAAAAAATATTCAAGTAAACTATGGTGCAAACAAAAGGACCATGACCATGGGCCATGGTCATGACCGTAACTGTGACTGCAACTGCGACTGCGACTGGGTGTTGCGGGGGTGCTGGGTTAGATTTTGGGCTGATTTTTCGGGGTTTACGGACCGAGGAAATAGGATTTAAAACTTAGTTATAACAAGCTGCTGGATTCCGTTGCATGTCTAAATATTGCCCCTAAATTACGCATGCATATATATATGTATGTATGTATGTATATGTATGTGGCATATGATCCTGGTACATGTATGTGTGTTAGCCTAAATGTCTTTTGGCCGTTCGTCTTTGACGTTCAGACTGCCCGACACTGAGCACGCCCCACCTGCCGCCGCTGCTGCTGCTGCTGCCGCCCCAATTTCGGCATCCAACTGACAACTGATTCTAAAACTAAACACAAACAGAGAGTGGGGGTGGGCGGGGGAACTAACGAATATTACAAAACCCAGAAGTAGAGGAAAATGATGAAGAAAACGACGCCGACAGCCGCCACCTTCATGACCAGCGACTTGCGGTTGAGCAATTTGGCATCCTTCTTATATTTTTGCGACATCAGCGACAGGTTCTGGGTCTTTGTGTCGAGGTCTGCAACCGAAAAACAGAAACAAAAACAAAAACAGAGATTAGATACGAGGCTCAGATGTTGTGGCGTGGATGATCGAAAGGTCTAGTTGAATATTGTGTTTGGTTACCCGCCAAGACCGTGCCACGTTGTAGCACGTCGTCGATGTTCTGCACCATAATGCGCTGCACGTCCTGGAGCTGTGTGTTAATGTTGGTGATGTTGCGCCTGCGGTCCGTCAACTGCCTTTTCGCCTTCTGAATGTACACATCGAACTCGATGAAGGCATAGGGCCGGGTCACCGAGTTCACCCTCCGCCCGTAGTGGGTGTGGAACTCCTGGGCAAGGTCCTCCAGGTAGTTGAACGCCAGTCGCTTGGAATACATTTTATCGACCATGACCAAGTAGCAAACGTCATTCTCGATTAGATAGCTGCACGAAGGGAAAAGGGGAGGAAATTGAGCGATTGCCGGCTACGTTAGCTCCATTGCATCATCGTCTACATATACGACGTAATACACAACAGGCGATCACTGCTGGGAGGTACTCACTGGAATAGATACGGTCCCGTCTCGATGCTGCTCCTGGCCGGCGAGTGTGTGCCCAGCTTGCGGAAGAGCATCTTCGCCTGGTTCTGATAGTCCAAAATGCTTCGTCCGCTCTGAAAGTGAAAGTTTTGCGCTGTAGCTATTGAGCATGGAATGGTGGGATGTTCGGTTAATTGGTAACCTTTGACACTGACCTGCTCGTCATCCTGCATGGTGCCCACCAGTGGCAGGCCATCGATGACTCGGGCTATCATTGTTAGCATCGCCATTTTGAGGGCTCCTTCTCATTCGCTACGTGGACTTGGGTCTCGCGTCGTTCTGTTGCTTCAGCTTAGCGCTCTCACTCTGGCCACGGCTGCACTTTGCCGCTGCCTCGTCCCGCTCCGCACCGTTGTTGTTATGGTCGCAGTGTTTGTAGCTCCAGCTACAATTCATTCAGGCTGTAATATTGTGATACATATATAAATATATGTACATATGTTACATATGTAGAAAGGTATCCCCCTGGCTACCATATCCACATCCACATCCATATCCGTACCTGTAACCTGTGCCTATTCCTGTTTCTGTGGTCGCTCCAGTGTCTCGCTTGTCTGCTGAACGAATGCGTGTGTCGTGGCCTAATCGGTGACTGGTCTCCTCTGGGGGGTCGGCATTGCTCGCATTTTAGTTTATGTGAAAACTATGTTGCAACGTTGGTTCGGCGAGGGGGACGGTCGCTAAAATCCGATTCGTGTTTTTGGCCTGAAACACGTCAGCTATCGTTTATGCTATGTTGCAACGTTGGTTCGGCGAGGGGGGACGGTCGCTAAAATCCGATTTTTTGGCCTGAAACACGTCAGCTATCGTTTATGCTATGTTGCCAAACTATTCCCGCAGTTGTTCATCAATAAAAGCCAGATTATACGGGAAAAAAGCGGAATCGGCAGCACTGGTTTTTGTTTTGTTTGCGCCGCAAGGTGTGTGACGTATGACGTCACAAAATTCAGAGCTTTCAAGAAAAATACCCACCTCAACACATAAATTCGGAGAATTTCCTCCATCCACGGACTATTTTTACTATTAGTTTAAGCTTGCTTAGGTTTTACATGTATTTGATAAACAATTGTTTGGTTAAAAAATGAGCCAAACCAACCCCATTCTAGCGTTCCTGTTTTGAGACAAATTTAGTTATGTGATCAGAGAAAGTTAGGTATTGAAGTGGGATCTTGTTCAATTTGAGAATCGTACATTTATATTTATCTTGGGAGTCCGCCAATTTCATTTGGCCATATAAATCCACGCCAGACCCGACCAGTTTAATTCACGGTATTTACCTGTTAAATAGAGGGAGTTAAGTGGGTTAAGTTCGTGTTTTTCCTCGGTATATTTACGGTATATTTAGAAAATGAGATGGTACATTTCGGTATATTTCTGAGGCTCAGGCGGTATGTTTTAACACTGAAAAATAATTTTTTTTATGTAATATACCGTACAAATACCGTTTCAAAATATACCGTAAATACCCACATTAACCCAGTGGAAACAAGGTAGGGTTGCCAAATATATAAAAAATATCATATCTAATTTGAAAAAATATCAAAATAATATGAAATATATCAACGAACAAAAATATCAATAAATTTTGCTGGCTTGGTGGAACACATAGTTTTGGCACAAGTTGTTTGACTAAAAGCCAGTAGACGTGTCTCTTTCTTCTAGGAAAGTTAGCAAAATCTAATAAAATATCGAAAAATATCAATGTATTGATATTTTGGCAAAAAAAAAAAATATCCCGATATAAATATATTTTTTTATTTTGGGAATTTATCGATATATTGATATTTTGATACAACTCTAGGCTGAAATAAATCAACGTTTCGTATAAAATCAATCAGCAGCAAAAGCCAAAGAAAACAAAAATATAGCCATATAATTTAAAGCTAAGCATATACAAGTGTATTTAGAGCAAGAACATTAATCGCTTGTCACCTGCGTGCTGTGGGTGTGCGTGTGTGTGTGTTTTTGTGTAGGTGCGTGCGTTGTGAACTGCGCGTGTGTTTGTGTGTGCTTTGTTCTATAAGAGCCGCTGGTGTGTGGAAATGGCGAAGAAAACCTACGATTTGCTCTTTAAACTGTTGCTAATTGGCGATTCGGGTGTTGGCAAGACCTGCATATTATTTCGCTTCTCCGATGATGCCTTCACCTCGACCTTCATATCCACCATAGGTGAGTGGCCATGGCCTGTCCAAAATCGGGCAATCGGGATATTTGTACAAACACTTGCCTACAAAAATGTACTTGCATATGTACGTACATGTGTGTGCACATGTGTAGAAGCCGAAGTTGTGTCAGCTGTGGCAGTGGGTAGGCGGCAACGACGACGGTGTCAAGGATATGCGTGTGTGTAATTGGGCGTGGCATTGTCTTATCTGTGGGATCAGAAACGGGAATGTTTCATTGCAAAGGCATTTCCTGGACTTATGTACATACACACACATGTACACATGTATATGTTACTTGGTATGAATGCATTTTACTGTTTCTTGTTATGCATATGTATGTTAATAAATATGTGTGCATGTAGAGATCGTTGCAGCCTTTGGACTTGGCCTGTGGCGAACTTTGCATAGGTCTGTGCTGGTGCTGGTGCTGGGGATGGGGGGGGTAACGGTAACCCTGCCCCTAGTTAGGCAATAAAACTAGATTAATACACGTAACCGATACACGATACGTGCAAACATTTATTTATCTATCTGTCTCACTTCCATGTCCGTGTCCGTCCCTTGGGCTGTGTGCGTGTGTGTGCTCTGGTGATTCATAATTTATGAGAGAGGACAACTTTTTGTTGTTTTTTTTTGATTTTGGATAGTCTGAATTCTAATTGTATATTGTGACGTCACAGCTTATGATTCAATTCAATTTTATTATTTGTAGGAATTGATTTCAAAATCAAAACCGTGGAACTGAGGGGTAAAAAGATCAAACTGCAAATATGGGACACGGCCGGCCAGGAGAGATTCCACACAATAACCACATCGTATTATCGCGGTGCGATGGGCATCATGCTCGTCTATGACATAACGAACGAAAAGAGTTTCGAGAATATCGTCAAATGGCTACGGAACATAGATGAGGTGAGTGCAAGAGTCCCCGCCACCCGCCAACCGCCTTTCCGTTGATTGATTCATCATCATCATTCACTCTCACTCTTTCTATCTCTCTCTCTCTCTTGTGCGGCGCTCTCTCTCTGCAGCATGCCAACGAGGATGTCGAGAAGATGATACTGGGCAACAAATGCGATATGACGGACAAGCGTGTGGTGAACAAAGAGCGCGGCGAGGCGGTAAGCAAAACTCAACCATTGTGGCTACAGCAGCGGTCAACAGACTAGTGCTGTAGGCTGTAGTTGCACAGCAACTGCCCACTCGCAGATATAAACTTACTGATTCCTCTCTCCCGTTTAGATTGCCCGTGAGCATGGCATACGCTTCATGGAAACATCCGCCAAGTCGAACATCAACATTGAGCGTGCTTTTTGCGAGCTTGCCGAGGCCATATTGGATAAGACTGCTGGAAAGGAGGCGGCCGAGAATCCAGAGCGTGTCGTCATCGATCGCCGGAATAATGACAAGGCGCCGGGCTACAGCAAATGCTGTGCGTAAAACGGGGCAAAGCAGTGGCCCTGAGGCCCGTTGGTCAGGGCTCTCTCTGCCGTGGCCGTTGCGTGTGTTTAGCTGTGCGACGCGAGATGAGTTATGATGGGGATCGGTTTTAGAAACTGCTCCACACACATACACACGCAAAATGAAGCAATAAAACACAGAGCGGGGCCAGATGGAGAGAGAGGAGAGAAATTACTTACTACAACAAAATATGCAGAAGGAACAACACAACAAGCGAACAAGCGAACCAGCAACAGCAAACAGCAAACGGCAAACAGTAACAGAAACAGAAACAACCTACCTAAAGTTTAAACACAATTTGTAACAACGAACATTTGGAAGAAACTTTACAAAACCTTTATAACGAAGATTCAGAACCGATACCGATACGTTAGTTAACGCACAACAAAACACACATTTTGAACCAAGAACCAACAACAAAAAGGATAAAACAAACAAAAAAAAGCGATAGAAGCAGAGGAAGAATGAAAAAAAAACAGAACTGCATTTCATGTCTGTCTCAGGGGCACCCTTCAGGCAGGCGTCCAGGTTTTCGCCCCACTGAAATCGGACAACTCGAGCAATTTCTAGTTAGCTAACGTGGGACAGATTTTTTTACAATACGTGAAATAGGAAGTTAAACATAGAAGAAAAAGAAAAAAAGAAAAGACCATTTTCCATAGAAACGCAAAAACAAAACAAAACAAACTAAAAAAAAACCAAGCAATTTTTTTTATAATGGAAAACTTTTTGATATGCTATATACCATGATTCCTAGTACTACCTACTACTACTACTACAACAACTACACCAGCGCACCTTTACTGCTCCGCCATCAATTTAATTCATTCAATTGCATCTTCCAATTTTCACACAGCTCCACACACACACCTCTGGCAATGTTTTTTCTACGTACTATTCGTGTGTTTTGCAGCCTAGATATATGTATGTATAATATATATACTCGTGTATATGCTATCCTAGTACTTATAATAGCTTGATCTTTCTTGCTTACGTTTCGTTTTCGTTATTGTTTTGTTTGTAAGTTGTCGCAGAGTGGAGGGGAGTCGTGCTGTGCGGTGGGGTGGGGTGGCGTTCGGGTTTCGGAACTACTCATCATGCCAGAGGTTTTGCTGTGCCTGTTTCCACAATTGTTTTCTGATCAATGCATATATATACATATATATATATGGTATATAAATATAGTATAGGGGGCTGTGGTGAGGAGGGGATATCGTTTTTATCGCGCCCAGCCTATAACCTAAATATTGATGATGATGATGTACGTTTTTCCTTCTTGTAATTTTATTGTAAACCATCTTCTTTTTTTTTCCTTTGTGTAATACTTATTATTTGTAATTGTATATGGATTTAGTGTAGTTGTCCACACCAAATGATTTACCGATTAAAAAAATATATAATGAACAATCCAAACAAAGAAAGCGCGATGGAGACTTATGAGTGTTTTTTGGCATGAAAGGGAGCTAAAGCATAAATGCTGCAAAATGATGCAAGTTTTGTCTACCAGCACTTAATTAGAAATTGATCCTACAGCTCTGATTTTAGTCTCTAATTTTCTACATTAGAACATAATTTAAAGACCTACAAAATGCAATCTAAAGGGTGCTTTATCGTCCCATGGCAGCGTCTCCATAGCTCCAATAAATGTCTGAATACAAAACTCTAACTAGCAGAATTTCTCACACAAATCAAATCGTTTCCAGTGCTGTTCCATTTCCGCATTGTTTTGAGCAATTTCATATGATAAAGCGGCAGCCCTATGACGGCATCAATTCTTTTGTTAGCGCGAACTTGCAGTTGGAATTACTCTGCATAATTACTATTAGCAGAGAACAATTGAAAAACATTTAATATAATCCTGATTTGAGGTGCCCTGTTTCTTCTTTTATCCAGTGAAAATAGCCGAGAAAGTTTCAACCTGCAAGGATGTGCGAGGGCATAAATCACAGCTTAAACGCTTCCATTGGAATGTAGAGATTTCACAGTTTAATCAGAGAATCATGCGCGCATTATAAATACATCCCAGTATCGTGTTGCCATATCCGTACATATATTTATGTACTACTTGACGCACTGATGCACGCGGGCGCCCGCTATCCAGGTGGAGAGCACATGCAGCTCGTCATCCAGCAGAATGAAATCGGCATCCGAGTCAAAGTCCAGGGTGCCCTTCTGGTGTTCGATTTTGATGCAACGCGCCGGATGCAAGGTGGCCGCCTCAATGGCATACACAATGGAGCAATCTGTGGGAGCAGTGCAGTGCAGACGATTAGCGAGGATGCTCAGGGTCAGGGCGGCAATGATGCTCCGCTACTCACTTGTGGCCTTGTGGAAGATGCGCACGCACTCGTCCATGGGCGCAATGCTGCCGCAGAGGGTCTCGGTGCCGGCGATAAAGGCTTTGCCCTTTCGCACCTCCAGCGGCAGCTGACCAATGTGATGGATGCCATCTTCCAGGCCCAAGGCCGAAATGGCATCGGTCACCAGCACGAGTCCCTCGGGATGGGTGCGATAGGCGATCCTTAGCGCAGCGGGATGTGTGTGCACACCATCCGAAATGATGCCAAAGTAGACGGTCCGTCCCTGGGGCACGGCATCCGAGGAGAGCAGCCCCACCAGGCCGGGATCGCGATGGTGGAACGGCAGCATGGCATTGAACAGATGCGTGATCATGGTGGCGCCCTGCTGTACGGCACGCTCCCCGTCGCTTAGTGTGGCCACGGAATGGCCCAGGGACACGGTTATGCCCCTGGCCACCAGCTGTCCAATGACCTCCGGATCGCTGACCTTCTCCGGCGCCAATGTAATGATCTTGAGGCGCTCCAGCGAGCCATAAACGGTCTCCAGTGTCTCCAGTCCCTGGCGAGTGGAGTATCATTAAAGAGGAACTCCAAGTGGCAGAGACCTAACCGCTTACCTTGTCGATTGTCTGAATGCAGTCCTCCGGATGGGCGCCCTTCTTCTGCGGATTTATGAACGGCCCCTCGGCATGGATGCCCAGGATGCCGGCTCCGTTTGGCACAGTTTTGGGTATGCGCGGCAGTATCGCATGGTAGCTGGCGTTCGGTGAGGTCACCAGCGTCGGGCAGAAGGAGGTAACGCCACAGCGCACCAGTCCCTGGGCCACCTTGGTGACGCCCGCCTCAATGGTGTCCTTGTCGTGCGAGAAATCCACACCATAGCCACCTGATCAGGGAGTACAGTGGGGCGATTCAGCAAAGAGAAGGCATTAATAGGGTCATTAAGCGACCCCAAAAACAAAGGCAAAGCTTATCACACACACACACACACACACACACAAGCTGCGGCGACTGCGGTGCACCACTTGTGGCAACGGACCCGCCAAAAGCGGGGCGATAAGATTAACGAGCTGATTACGTGGACGGACGGCCATCCATCTGTCCAATCAGCAGCCCCTCAATGTAAATGGAGTGGAGAAATGAACAGACCCAACCGACCGACCTTGACGCACCGATTGAATCAGCGCAGCGAAAGTGATATTTCCAATGGGAATATTAGGGTCAGTAGGGTGGACGCGGACGGGTGGTGTTGGTTTACCATTAATCTGCAGGTCAATGTAGCCGGGCGCAATGATGGCACCCTGGCAATCGATGCGCTTGTGGGCTCTGGTCTGCTCGTCAAAGAACACGGGCTCCGGATTGACGATCCTGCCATCGCGCACCCACAAGTCGTCGCGGACCAACTGGTGGCCGCGCACCAGGCGGCAGTTGGTGAACTGCAGCAATCGCTGCTGGGGGCTATCACAGTCGCAGAGCCGCGGTGTGGCCATGGCGGTTGGCAGTCGTTAACTAACTTAAGCTTATTTTAAACAGAAAACAAAGTAAAAACCATTACAAAAACGTAAACAACGTAAACGAAAACGAAATTAACGATAAATAAATACAATCAACAATCAGTGTTGCATAGTAGCAGCCCGCCAGTGCTGGCAGATGTGGATTATGGAAATACCCTAAATAACGTCAAAGATGGACAGTCCCACGAGTATGCCATCAGTCAGCTTCAGGACGTGCACAGTCCTATCGATACTTATCGTTTGAGGCGGGAGATTTGAATCATGTAAATGCATTTTGACATGCATTTCTATTGTTGAACTAAATTTTTGATTGCAATTCTCAACTCCTGGGTTAAGTAGCATAATGTGTACATACTCTCTGTGGGCACATGTCCAATTTGTTTTTATGGCACCAAAAATGCTTTGGGGGAATTAGCCATTTGGCCACTTTGACACTCACATGGCAGTGCCAGTGCCAGTGCCAGTGCCAGTGCCCAGTGTCTCTGCTGATGTTATCGCTGGGCCATAGACGTCGTCGCACGCTGTGGACGCAGCATAAAATGCCAATATTTGCCAAACAACAGTGGCAAAGAAGGGCACAGGGCGCTCTGCTGTGCTGTGCTGGCTGAGCCACTGCCTGCCTGCCTGACTGCCTGCCGAAAATGCAAATGCAAATGATAATGATGACACGGCAGCGCCAACAACAGCCCCAAAACAGAAACAAACAACAAAGCAGCGGCCAGCCGAAGCTTTTAATACCCTCGCAGATCTCCATAGAGATCTAAATATAAATAAATAAAATAAATAAAAATAGTCCGCGGAATTCCCCACCTATTTTTAGATTTGTTTATCTTTGGCATTTGTGGCAATAATTTTGCAGTAAGGCAGAAGTCAGCTTGCAGTTGTCTTACCTCTTTTTGTGAAGGGTATATAAACTATACCGTTACCTCCAGGTGGAGCTGTCCACATACTCGTAGGCCTGCGACGGACGGTCGGACACAATGGTCGACATTTTACACAAATTGCAGCGCTCTTTGCCGCTCCCTCTCCCTCACACTCCTGCACTCCCCTCAAATGACTTGAAAGTGCTGGGCCAGATGGGTAGGAGGGTGCACTCGAGGTGGGGATACATAGGTTCGCTCTTTTTTCTCTATTGGCAACTGATTAGCATTTAAATTAAAATGTCGCAAAGTGGCCTTAACAAAATGTTCCACTCTTTGTGTGCACCTCGCCACGCCCCGCTCCCCCCTCTGG